TTATAAATGTAAAGTTATGCACTTGAGGACTAAAACCATGCATGTGTCATATACTCTAGGGGGAGTACAACTGGGGAAGTCAATAATCGAGAAGGATCTGGGTGTTGTGGTGGATCATAGACTTAATAATAGCATGCAATGCCAAGCTGCAGTTTCCAAAACAAGCAAAATATTTATTGTATATTAAAAGAGGTATAGGGGTTGATTTACTAAAGGAGTATATCATGTTCACTTTGCAAAGTGAATTTTTACTTAGTTTACTTAGCTTAGTGAAAGTTATAAATATTCACTTTGCAAAGAATACCCAATCACGTCCAAATACATTAACAGGGTTATTCCCAAAAGGGTGAAGAGTTTGGAGAAGGCAGGAGAAGTGAACAATCTAGGACAACATAGCTGATTTGGAAAAATTCTCCAGTTCAGCTCACTTTCCAGTTCAGCTATGTTGTCCTAGATTGTTCACTTCTCCTGCCTTCTCCAAACTCTTCACCCTTTTGTGAATAACCCTGTAAAAAAAATGATTTTTGCACAAATGGATGATTTTGGTCAGCAGAGCTTCACCTTTTTGACTAAGCTAAGGGAAAATCCCTTGCAAAGTGAAAACAGTCTGTACTCCTTTAGTAGCGAAATCTCATGGACTCTACAGAGAGATAGAGGCATCATCTTGCCGCTGTACAAATCATTAGCATGACCTCATGTGGAATATGCAGTTCAGTTTTAGGTAGCAGTTCACAAAAATGATGTTGAGGAACTGGAGAGAGAGCAAAGATGGGTAATTAAACTGATAAGAGGCATGGAGGGCCTCAGCTATAAGGAAAGATTAGCTGAATTTATTCTCCCTTGAGAAGAGGCATGTAAGGGGTTTATGATTACCATGTATGAACAGATAAATGGTCCATATAATTTTGTTCACCTCACAGTCTTTGCACAGGACAAGCAGGAACTCTTTCCATATATGGAAAGGCTTCTTCACAACAAGAGCTGTGAAAATGTGGAATAGGCTTCCACAGGAAGTTCTAGCCATCTCAGTTGATTGTTTTAAGTAAAAGCTGGATGCATTCCTAAATGTACAGAATGTAACTGGCTATTAATTTACTTTGGTCCAGCTTGGCTCAATGTAACCATCCATATTTGATCTCCGCAGGGCTGCTGTAGATGTTGGCAATTAGTACGTCTATGCTAAATACAGTAATAGTTGGTCCAAGGGCAGTCCTTATAATGAAGCAGCCTGAGGTGGTCGCACAGGCGGCATCTCATTGGGGAGCTGGCAGGTGGGGGGGGGGGGCAGTAGAGGACGTCCACGGCGTCCCAGGTTGCTAAGAACGCTAAAAGTCTGGCTTTGTTTTTTCCCAGACTTCAACTTTAAATTCTGTATCAGCTTTGTATATTTTAAATGTTTTTTCTTTATTATTTATTGCATTTTAACTCTTGTAAAAATCCACTCAAGTTTTGCTTTTAGTCCCTTATGTGTTTCCATAAAATTGGTTTGAAACATTTCCCATTTGTGTTCTGTGAAAACATTTCCTCTCTGTCTCTGTGTTGGAGGCAGCCTTCGGCATTTAAAACTGTCTCTATCAAAATGAAGTGCTTTTCGCTTTTGGGCATGTACTTTTTTTATTCCTTAAAGGAGTATTATGAGGCGAGTGAAAATCACTCAGCCTCATAGTTCTAGCCAACCTGTGACAATGAAACTGTCACAGGTCGGCTCAATAGATCGGGAAGTGAGCGAACACATAGGGGTCTATTCACAAAGCTGCCGAAGGATCTGGCCGTAACTTCGGCTAGCTTCGGCCCCAGGACCCCTTCGGTTCAGTAGAACCGAAGGGGTGCTGTACAAGCTATTCACAATAGCCCGTACAGCTCCCGCATATGCATGGGCTCGGCTGAGCCGTGCTGAAAGCCGAAGCTGGCCGGCCGACAAGCTTGCTTCTGACAGCTGGGCGGAGCCAGCTGTGATCTTACTGTGCTATTGAAATAGCCAATAGTAATGTCCCAATGCTTTTCAATTGAAACATTTATTTTTTTGTTCTATTCTGACATCGCGTGTTAGAATAAAGAAAAAAAAGACACAGCGGTGTTTCTCTCCTTTGCGGCCGGGAGCGGGAGACCCCCAGAGCCCCCGGGAGAGTTTTTTTTTTTTTTACAGCAGCAGAGCCGCCCGACAATAGGAAGCTATTGGGCGGAGCTAGCTGTC